ACTAGGATGTTAAAGTTTCCAACGTGAAATAGGATATGAAAGGGGTTATACAAATTGGAAAAAAAGACTATGTAATTTTGCCAGATCGTGGCAAATTTAAGGAAACAACAAGGGACCGGCACAAAAACAAACCTATTTACAGCGTATCTTGATGTAAGTGGTCATATTAGGCAGTACCGGGTCACACAACGGTAGGTGCAGGAGCATAAGCTTCAGCAGTAGACTCGCAGTAGAACTATATGAAGACATTGTGTCAAACTTTTCATCTTCCCTTACTCTCAACCTCATTTACTTCTTGAGTTTTCCAAATCTCTATTTCTGGCAAGATAACAACAGGAGGAACAATGTAAGAGTTGAAGGGCGTTGCAACACCAGCAAAAGCATTATAAAAGGCAATAATAGACGTTATGATTCCAATAACACCACCAGCACGAGAAACACCCATATCACCAGTGAACAGCGCACAAGTCATAACCAAATAAGTCAATCCCAAAAACACAAACATCAAAAGCAATGCCACTGTCGATTTCAAAAGAAGCAGGACAACGATAAAGGTCCATATGGTCCATCCTAATAAATATAACCCTACTGCATTTTGTAATTGGTCAGTCCCTTCATAAGCAGCAGCAATACCAAACAGTGGGATGAATATAGCAGCATAACTAAGCCAAAATCCTCCATATGAAAGCAAAAGTGTAAATGCAAATGTATTTCCAGTGAAGAATTCAAGTATCCCAGCTAGTATCAGGGCAGTTGAACCGTAAAAGCAGGCTATTGAAACAGCAACATTGGGGATGGTTATACCCATGACTCTAGCATTAAATAAGCCCATAATCAAGCAACCTATTCCGAAAGAAAATAATCCAAGTGGTGCTGGATTGATGTTGAATTTGGGAAATGGTGCAACTCCTGCGTTTAATGAACCACCAAATGCTGACATCAATTCATGACGATAGTAGGTTTGTCCTCCAATGGTGACTAATTCATCGCCTTTGCCATGCGTGTGGATTCTTGATATGGATGAGTTATGTGATTGATTAGTCTGCAGGTGTTGCACTTCGTGCTCCTCAACATGAGAAGTACTTGGTTTGTAGCTTTCAATTGACGATGAAGATGACATTTTGTGTGTGTGGTTGTTTGTTCTTCTTGAAATGATTATTTCACTATAGCTCTTGAAACATGGTTCTTGTGGCCTCCAATTTATACATTCCCCAATTTGAGAGTCATCCACCAAACCCCATTCGTCTCTCCCTTTCTCTGACACCTCCACGTGTTTGCTATATGACTAGTCTGGTGTGTTTTTTCAGCAATTTTGGTGTGGACACAAGCGGGAACTTACCCCATACGAGCGACCGAACTCTTCTAAGAAACGTTTATCGTGGGGAATTTTAATGCAATGATTGCTATATTTACGAGAGGGGTATTGAAAGAACACAAAAGGGAGAAGTCAACACGACCGAGACTGAGGTGAAAGAGTTCTTGTATCTGAAAACATACCAGTTTCACCTTCTATGCGTACTACCAAGCAAGTCAATGGACTACTATACCAAAACCGGACTTGTAGTACCAGCTTCAATATGTCGTCTTTTGATGTACGTCCAGCAGCAAAAGAGGAAACAAACAGATAGATAAGCCATTTCAGATAATACAGGAAGATCCTTTTTGTGTCAACTGTAACTCTAGAAACGTTCTCCGCCTTAAATTGTTTGTGCTTTGCACAACCCCCAGATGGAGAAGTTGTTTGATTATTTGAATAGATAGATGAAAAATTTTGGAACAATTTTAGGGGAGGTAATTGGACGGAGATTTTTAACCGTCAATGACTATCATATAGACATGTGCAGCCTTTTGTCAAAAGGATGAGGGTATACGTGAAGGGATTATATTGTATGTAAGAGTACCTGTTTATCATTCATTACCACCATTTGCGCACTTCAAACACGGAGTTGTCAATTCTTTAGTTTTTGTAAATTTCTCCGTTCGGAAAAAAAAAGGTTTCTCAATAAAAGTGGGTCTGTCTCTAACTCTGTCAAGGTAAACTTTTTCTGGGCTGAATGTGCTCTCAAATTCCTTGAAAGGAAATTTGATATGATACATGGAGGGGAATTCACACAAAGTATCAACTACAATCAATAAGTGCTCACTTTTCACACACCACGAATGTTAGTACACCTTGTATAGATGGCAATTGAACCTACTGCTTCCGTTGCAAAATTATTTTGCGAGGGGACATGTGTCGCGTCCCTGACGAGACCTAAACCCGACACGATACATGGGGAGCTATACCTAGATTCTTCATATATACAAATATGTTTCCGTTAAATTTATATTTATTTATCTCTTTGCTTAAAAACACTAACTTACGATGCTCGTTGGTGCTACAGTAGGGGCGAAAGGTTTACCATGCAAAGCATTTCCCACTCGGAGTTCTCCATATTTTGTGGGAAATTTTGTTTTTGCAACAATTTATTTTTTGTGGGGTAACTGTACTTTGATAAGATTTAACTGACACACCTACGATATAAGCGATTACATATAACATACAGGCTGTAGTTAATTGGGGTAAGCGTCCTCCCTCCCTCTCTACTAAACACTTTTGCAGGATGTAGTTACCAATTTAGAAAGCCAACAAATGATCCAACTTATTAGATCGACGGAGAGAGGGGAAACCTCAGGTGGATTCATTTTGCAATAAATATCTACTAGACGGATATCCCTTTACTAAATAAGTTCAAGGAAATGAACTTAAAACTAATAAGATGACTGAGATCGTTATAGATAATTTTATCTACTAATAAGTCTTTTGTAGCGTTTGACGAATATCCCATTAAACAAACAACCAATTAATTGCACAAACTAAATTGAAAATCAAGATCATATTACAATACAATACAGCCGGAAATAGCCTCTATAATCGCACTGACTGGAATCACAAAATAACTTACAATACGTGTTAATTGTGTCTTATTGAATTGTTGCAAAAAGACTTTAATGCTGAAAGTTTGAATTTATTATATTTATATATATATAGCTATTTGCTTGGGTTATCCTGTAGGAAGTGGTTTTCTACAACTTGTCACTTTAATCTCAATATACAGATAGCGTATGATTCAGAGCGGACTACCAGTCAGTTTAACTAAAGTTCCTTCTTTGGAGTGACTAAGCTACAGTTTGTGGGATACAACATCACTATCAGAAGTATTTTCATAGCTCATCATGAATTCATCAAACGATTATATACAGATACTAGAAGAATACTCCATCTGTATACAGAAATCAGCACCCTTCCAACTTAGAAACTCATGATAAATTCCTCAACAATTCTAATTGACGTTCTCCTGTTTCGGATTCACGTTCATTAACAAATGAATCTGCTTCTTCGTCCCCTTGTTGTCCACAGACATAATCAAAAGTATAACCAAACTTTCCACTATCTTCAGCTTCAGCATCTTTTTCATACATGTAATTATAATTCAAAGAAGTAATATAAGTGACATCTTCCTCATCAATGGTGTAGTTGTGTGTATGTCTTGTTTTAGCTGATGTGATGAACGCGTCGTATGAAGTTTGAGGTATATTGGATAGTATAGGAGATGGTGTTGATGATACAGTGGATGAAGTTTCGTCAAGATCAAATGTAGCTTCAATTGAACCTATCTGTTCAGTCGTAGTAGCTCTGTTATATTGTTGTTGCCGTTGCTGTTGTAACTCATTTAAACTTTGGTCAGCTGGTATTATCTTCTGAATACTACTCTTAGACCATGATGATGTAAATGTAGTGGCTGCTGTTGTTGTACTATCGTTTGATTTGATTCTCTTGGCGGTAGATTTCAATTTCGTCAAAAATGAAGATGTACGGGTGGGAATCTTTGGTCGGCTTCATTTCCGACTTTTGTTACCAGTAGCGCTGTTGCTGCTACTACTTCTTTTGAGTTGACCGTGTTTGATATAACAATGTTGCGTGTTAACAGATGTAGACTTGGATATTGTGGACACAATATAAAAATCAAATCTCAAATCTCTCTCTCTCTCTCTCGCTCTCTCTCTGGTCTGAGCATCCAAACATCAATAACTAAATGTAATGTGAACTGAAAAATTTTTTCTTTCTTCCTCTTCAGTAATTTTTGAAAAATTCATACACAACAACCTATCATTAACTGAACGTTGTTGCAATACTTTAACTCCCCCTACTCCGACTTCCCCCATCACGCACCGCAATGTCAATCAATGAAGAAGATTATTTGCAGTTAGAAAAGGAAATCAATTTGGACGATATTGATTTCTCAGACTTGGAGGAAAAGTATGAAGCTGATGTTGGATTAGATAATTACATTATTGTTGATGGTGCACCAGTTGCACCAGAATCAAAGGTTCCTGTTTTAACTAAGGTGCTTAGAAAGTTGTTCAGTACCGTGGGAGAAATAGTAGAAGGAGAAGAAGGTCTTTATATGCCATTAGAGGATGGAAAATCTAAAGGGTATTTATTCATTCAATACAAAACACCCCAAGAAGCTGATTCCGCGATTAAAAAGTTACACGGTAAAAAGTTGGATCAGAATCACAGATTGTTGGTGAACAAGTTTTCAGACATTGAGAAATATGGTTCAGTTAGCGCCGAGTTCAAAGAACCAGAGGTTGAACCATTTAAGTCGCACGGTTATTTGCACAATTGGTTGCAAGATCAACAAGGAAGGGACCAAATAGTGACTCATTTTGGAGAAACTGTAGGTATTCACTGGAGCAAAAAGGCAAGTGATCCCGAACAGGTTGTTGACCCTAGAAAAGGATTTACCTCCAAGTACGCCAAGTTTTCACCAAAAGGTACATATCTTTTTTCAATCCACCCTCAAGGAATTCAGTCATGGGGAGGTGCTGATTTCCATAGTGTCAGGAGGTTCTTTCACAACCAGGTTAGACTTATAGATTTTTCACCCAACGAGAAATATATGGTTACATTGTCACCCATCCCCATTGCATTACCAGATTCGGCCGCCGATAGACAACAATTTCCCTTTGGACCCGAGAGTGAAGGACACAAGTTGGTTATATGGGATATGATTACTGGTGAACCGGTTAGAACCTTTGCCTTGCCACCTCATCTTGAACACCAAAAGGAAATGCCATGGCCGTTGGTCAAATGGTCTTTTGATGATAAGTATTGTGCTCGTCAAGGACCTGATGCTTTGGCTATTTATGAAACTCCAAGTTTCCAATTATTGGAGAAAAAGTTGGTGAAAATTGATGGCATTCAAGATTTCGAATGGGCCCCAGCGGGAGTAAAATTACACAACAATAAGGGTTCGAACCTTGAGCACATCTTGTCATACTGGACACCAGAAAGTACCAATCAAACTGCAAGAGTTGCCGTAATGCAGATCCCTAGCAGACAAGTCTTACGTACTGTGAACCTTTTCCAAGTTAGTGACTGTAAGATGCATTGGCAAAGTGAAGGAAAGCTTTTGTGTGTTAAAGTTGATAGACACACTAAATCAGGTAAGACTATTTTTTCCAACCTTGATTTCTTCAAGTTAGGCGAAAAGGATGTTCCAGTGGAGAAGCTCGAATTGAAGGATGTTATCGTCAACTTTGGATGGGAACCAAATAGTGAAAGATTTATCACCATTAGTCGCTTGGATGACGGAGATCCAAATCCATCTATACCAAAAAACACCATTACTTTTTACGCACCAGAAGTCGCCAAGGGAAAGAATGCAAACTCAAAATACAAGGCGTACAAAGTCGTTGAAAACAAACACTCCAACACCATTGCTTGGTCACCAAAGGGAAGATATGCCGTTGTTGCCACAATTTCAAGATCTGCGGGTGAAATTGACTTTTTTGATGTATCATTTGATGATGAGACCAGCAAGAAAGGTGCACCAGCCAACGTCAAGTTGCTTAAGACCGACCAGTATGTGGGAATGACCAACATTTCTTGGGATCCTTCTGGCAGATTTGTCACTGCGTGGTCTTCCTCATGGTTACATGCTATCGATAATGGGTACAGATTATACGAGTTCACCGGTAAATTGTTGAGAGATGAATCAATTGACCAGTTCAAGGACTTTATCTGGAGACCACGTCCTGAAAGTTTGTTATCAGCCGCTGAGAAGAAAAAGGTTCGTTCCAACTTGCGTGAGTACTCTGCTCAATTTGAAGAAATCGATGCTATGGAGGCCGATGCAGCCGTTAAAGAAGCCATCTTGGCAAGAAGAAAGGCATTGGAGGACTGGAGAGCATACAGAGCTAAGCACGTGAACAAGAAGGCACAAACCAGTGATGTGAAGGCTGAAATTATCGAAGAAATTAAGGAGGAGATCATTGAAGAAAAGGAGGAAATTGTCGAGTAATTCTAAATTTGTATACTTACATTTGTCTATTTGACTTGGTTCAAGCGAACGTTGTAACTATATACAGTTGATAAATAAAGACACCATTCACGCCGATTTAGTTTTGAGTTGTAGTCCGTGCCACTTTTTTATTTCATCTTTTAAAATATCATTCACTAGTCTATGCTGTTTGATCATGGGCAACCCTTTAAACTTTGGACTCTCCACAAGAATCGCAAACATTGATCCACACCCTCCCAGGACATCTTGAACTTGTAAATTGACCGGATCAAACTCGTCTTGTAGCTTTTTGTAGATTTTGCTTTCGTATTCACCCATTTGATGAGATGTTGTTGATTGCATTCTTAGTGATGGCAACTGAATCGGTAGTCTATTTGTAAATAGCCTGGTTCTGAGAATATGGTTCGGCAACATCATTCAAGGTATTTTCTGAAAACTAAATGAACTTGAGTTACCTGTGCTTTGGCAGAGATGTATTCTAATAACCGTTTGAAGCTTTAAAAGATCGTTGATGGATGAAAAAAATATGGAAATGCGATTACCAATCAAAAGACAAAACAGGTCGTGTACAATTGTTGCTTGGACTTCAAACTTTAGTACACATATGCTTCTGGAACTTACACAGTTTAATGTTCTTGACTTTGAATGCGCTGATGAGATTCGCTGTACAGTACTTCAACATTCAATTAGTAATCAGACTCAATCATATCAGGTTCTAAAGACAACTGGTGATTGTATGTAACTGTGTCGTGTCGTGTCGTGTCGTGTCGTGTCGTGTCGTTTTTTTTAGGTTTTCCTTCTTTTTTTTTGCGCAAGTTTTTGTTTTTCTATTTTCGTCCGAGTGGGTAAAAACTGAACACCAATCTGGATAAAGAAACAATTGTTGAGTGTTTTCATTATAAAAGAATTGACCTAATATTATGAGGTATGTAATAGATACAAGTTTATTTCAATGACCAATTGACTGACCACTAACGACTTTGTAGTGGAAAATTTGTTAGGGCGTCCAAGTATCGCCATGTTTTTGGGCAAGGCTCCAAGAAGGAGTTGTGCTACGAAAATCTCAAAATCACAAAGAACGCATGGGACTCCAACATTATCCAAACCAACGGAAAGTATATATCTGCTAATTGGGATGCATCAGGAGGTGGAGCATTTGCGATTATTCCAGTTGAAGAAGTTGGTAAAGCTCCCGATAAAGTCTCGTTGTTTAGAGGACACAAGGGGCCCGTTTTGGATACAGCATTCAACCCATTCGACACACAAGAGGTGGCCAGTTGCTCAGATGATGGCAAAATCTTGATTTGGAAGATTCCTAAAGACTATTCATTTCATCGCTACCTTGATGAAAACGAGGAAATCAAAGACATTACTGAGCCAGAAAAAGTCTTGCTGGGACACACTAGAAAGGTTGGTTTGATTGAATACCATCCTTGCGCGGCAAATGTTTTGGCTTCTAGTTCTTTGGATTATACAGTTAAGATTTGGAATACCGAGACTGGCAAGGATGAGATAACCTTGCAACATAAGGATTTAGTGACGTCGTTTGCCTTTAATTATAATGGATCTTTGTTAGCAACTACGTCTAGAGACAAGAAACTTAGAGTTTGGGATATAAGGTCAGGCAAAGTGTTATCCGAAGGTCCCGGCCACACCGGCGCCAAGCCATCAAGAATAAGATGGCTAGGAAACACAGATAGGATAGTAACAACTGGGTTTTCCAAGTTATCAGATCGTCAAGTCGGAGTATGGGATGTCGAAAATATTGATGAGGGACCAATTGGTGGATTTATGGTCATTGATGCGTCCTCGGGTGTTTTGGTTCCCTACTTTGACCCAGAGAATTCGATTTTGTATCTCGCTGGTAAAGGTGACGGTAACATTCGTTATTACGAGTACGACAACGATGTGTTACATGAGTTATCTCAGTATGCTTCTACAGACCCACAAAGAGGATTTGCAGTGGCACCGAAACACTCAGTTAATGTAAAGGAAAATGAAGTTGTTAGAGCATACAAGACGGTTTTAGATACCCTGATTGAGCCAATAAGTTTCATCGTACCTAGAAGGTCTGAGTTATTTCAACTGGATATATATCCCGACTGTCCTTCAACCACACCCGCCCTCAGTGCAGAGGAATGGCTCGATGGTAAGGAGGTTAATGGACCTGTTTTGATAAATATGGAAGCTATATACGAAGGAACAGAACCAAGTTTGAAGGACAGCAAACCGGCTACCAAAGTATCGGAAGTTAAGGAGGCAAAAAACAGAGACTTGGAAAAGAAAAAGGAAGAAACTATCAAGAAAAGGGAGGAGGAGCAAAAAGAAAAAAAGGCAACAAGCGAAAAGAAACCTGAGCCATCCAAGGACGTGGCTGAGTCAGCTGAAACCGTTTCTTCATTGAGTGGTGCCCCCAACAAGAATGTAGATGAGTTGTTGCAGGGTTCTAATGAAGTCGGGGATCTTTTGAATAAGGTAGCCAATCAATCTGATGAAGAAGATTCGAGTGAAACTGAAGAATCAAAGGACGATGGATGGGAAAAAGTGAAGAAGCCTGAAGCCAAGTCTGTCTCTCCATCAGAAAGTAAAGGAAAAGAAGTCAAGGGGCTTGAATGTAATCCATCGTCAAATAGCGAAAACAAATTGGAAAAGGTAGACAAACAGCCCAAAGCATCTTCTCCCGAAACTGAAACTAAAACTGACACCGAAAAGGTAGTTGGTGGCAAGGAGCCTGAAACTTCAAAGTCAATAGATGATAAAGAAACAATCCCCAACGATAGTGCAAAGGACACCGACTCTTCATCAAAAGGTCAAGTGAAGGAAGAGAAAAAGACGACCGATGACAAGTCAACCAAAGCATCCAGTACCAAGCCTACATTAGCCTCTACAATTGAGAAATTATCCAATTTAGTGACACAGTTTGAGTCTCAGATTGTGAAGTTAGAGAAAGCTAATTTGGACAAGGACGAAAGATTGAAATCTTTGGAAGAAAAGATTGAGAATTTGCTTAAAAAATAATCTTATGGGTATATATATATATATTTGTTGTACGTACTACTCCCCCTTAACATCATAGAATTTCTTAAATATAAACGCAATGAAATTGTTTGCATCAAACGTGGCGTTGTCATCAAACAATGTAAACGTCTTCTTTTGCTCATATTGAAGCGCCAATAAATCGTCCAACGTAATCACGCTACTAGCTCCACCAACGACTACCAAGTTCTTGGAGGCCTCAACTGTGAATTTTCCCACTTGGTAACAACTGAACGTAAAATCCATTTTAGAACTGTCAATCAAGCTCAGTGACGTCTTTAATAAAATCTTTTGGTCTTTGAGTTTTTTAGCTGATAACTTGTAAGATCCAAATTCAGGTAGTCTGTTCCTCTTTCTCAATTCACGATTATAAAAGTATTGTTTACTAAACACGGGTATGATGCTAAAGATTTTCTTGTCCTTTGGTTTCAACTGCGAGTCAGCAAGAATACTCTCCACATGGCGATTATACTCGTTCAACTGTTGGCGCAAAAACCTTTCTTTCTCGGACAATTTCTTCACTGTCTGATCGGAAACTTCTAGTTGCTGTACCCGTCTCTTCCTTTGAATATTTTTGCTCTTGATATCTATTGCAATCTGATTCAACAACTCTTGGAACGAATTTTTTCTTGTGACTTCTCCCATAGCCTCTAGCTTCAATAGCGATTCAAGACACATTCGCTTTAGGTCATGGTATGACATCTTGTCTAAGTCACCAAGTGATGTTTTGTAGTACATTTTTGTGGTCGACATTGAATCTTCTTTTTCCAGTGCCACTATCTCTCTAAACTTTTGCTCGTGTGAAGCTTTGATGCCAGAAATGAGTAGCTCTAACAAATCATCGCCCCCTTGCACCCGCATTATGTATAACATACAGCGTTTTGCTTGGGTGAATAAAACTTTTGTTTTTGAGTCGGCAAGTGATTCATCATGCACGTTTCGGTTCAATATAATGGTTATGCTAGACAAATCAGTCATAGCCACCAAGTCAGTCGACAGAGTGGTTAAGCTTTCCAACTTTTGGGCCACTTTAAGCAACGGGTCATCGGTAGACCCCAGCATTACATCAATACTGGATAAAGTAACTTTTTCGAGAAATATCATTGAGTTAGTTTTCATAGTTAGCTTAGGCGCTTCTGCAACCATGTCATTAATGTTGCCACATTTGTACACCTCATCAATGTCCTCAATGTCAATGATCCCACGCACAATCGATTGAATGGAGTCAACACTAGACTCAAGGTAATCATTAAGTGGCTTCAAAAAGTTGTTGGTAAAGGGCCTCATGCTAAATAACTGAAGCATCACCCTATGCAAGTGGCGCAAATTTCCTTGTCCCTTCAAGTAATTTCTGGAGTTGATTCCATAATTCTCTGGAAACAGAATAATCACCCCAAAGTAGTATTTCCAGAAACAGACACCAGCAACAGCCAAATGCTGCTGATCCAGTTGTGCAGGAAAGAGTGAACGAGCAAGTTGGTACGCTTCACGGCAAATGAGTCTCATGTGTACTGGTGTGCGCGAAATGTTGCTTTCAATAAGTTTCATCACTTCCGAGCAATATTCACGTAAACCCATAAGGTTACTCACAAAACGCGATGACACTTCAGGCACTTTAATCGCATCTTGTGGGCTAACTTCAGATTTCACTGTATGCTCGCGTGGCACAACTTGAGAGTGAATAATGGTAGGGTCACTTTCAAAGTCTAGTTCATCATAGTCAAGGATTTTGTGTACAAACTTCCCAGCCAATAATTTCAAATGTTGTCTTTGATACGTGAGATTATTAAAATGGGTGACAAACTCGGTCCAGTGAGTAAACTGAGATTTGGTGATGTCGGTCACAGTTTGTGATTTTGCAATGTCGTTTTGCATAATCACTAGCACTAATTTCATATAGTAATACTCTTCCCTTGTATGCCGACTGATTGATGGCTCGATTATAGGGAACAACTGGAATGTGTTGGCTAGCAACGTTTGATACGATTCAGAACTCTTCAACACATAGTCCTTGGCTTTATATACATTTGCCAAGTATTTACTTTTTGTTTGAAGATGATAAAATAAGGTCAGATATAACTCAACTTTGGCTCTGGCAGCTTTACTCAAAATGTTCAAGTTTGTTGGTATTTCGTTGGTTTGGACCCTACGTTCGTTTGGTCCTTTAAACTTTGTAAACTCTTCAACAGTGATTTTGTTTTTATGCAAAAGACTCAACTTCAAGTCAATGCTTTCAATTTGACCTTCCAATTTTTCATTGTTTTTCGACTTTTCAATAAGTAAATCTTTAACCCTTGACAATTGAACCTCCTGTTCAAAATCACCATCGCTGTTAGATAGAAGGTGAGCAAATTGTCTTAAGACCACCAATGACGGATTTGGACTAGTTATGAGCGACTTGTATGCATACTGGGCCAAACATTTACGAATCATGGCCTGAGCTTTAATTACCAGTTCTATGCGAAGCTCGTAATAGTGTACGATATTATTGAATTTATGCTTCACCGTATTTGCACGTATTTTGGCCTGGAGTGCCATGACCGAGCCCACATGCTCGTAAAGTTCATCCAAGATAATTTCATAATTGAATCTGCCGAGAACTCCTCTAAACAATGTTTGGACAGGAATTATGGAAGAGTGCTCCAACATATTCAACTCTGCTTTAGTTCTTTGAATCGAACTTCTCACTTTTTCTCCACGATAAAAGGCCGAAAGGTTGCTCAAAGTATCGTCCTCATTTATCAAAGTAATGAGCACATTATTGCACAACCGCGAGCGCGCAACACCTGCACGAGCAATACTTTGTAGTTCAACCAACTTTTTCTTTGCGGATCGCACAATCATGTGCTTCCGGTTAATCTCATGAATTACAGCATCTCTTCTGATTAATGATTGCAACTCAATTATTATGGGAGAATCAACAGAACGTGAGCTTGAAAACTTTTTGTACAACTTGCTGCGGCAAAGAGCTTGTAGTTCTGTAATTGGAGGCAATATCTCGTCCTTATACAAAACAAGTACTTTCACTCTACTGTACACAAAACGCATCTTGATTAGCGATTGAAGTTGAGTTATGCTTGATTGCATAGTGGAAAATGCATATTTCGTTGCCTCCACTCTTTCTCTCACAACTTTGCCCCTGATTATACTCTGAAAATGGTTCATTTCTCCGTCTTGTAGTTGGAACCTATTAGCAGTTGCAATTTTTCTTCTTATTAACGATTGCAATTCGACAATCTCATAGCTGAATGCCCTCAATTCGTCTCTATGCCTGTGAATGGTCTTGGATCTAGATAAGTTTCCACGAATGATTGAGCAAAGACGCACTATGTCATCTTCGTAGGACTTGAGCATGATCTTGTCAACAAACATTGAGTACCTAAAGTTTGCACCTCTTGCCAACGACTGTAACTTGATAATGTGTACATAGTTTTCTTCCAACCCATCGTGATTGAGTCGGTCTGACTTTGTGCTTTGAAATGTGGATTGACTTGGCTTTTGCTGTTTTGTTTCAAATGTTGGTGCTGGTGTTTTAATCTCAAACATAGCAGGTGGTGTCAAGTCTGGCTTCTTTTCCTCAATAAATGGATTTGGACTTAATTTCTCCAATTTGGCTTTTGCAGGAGATAACATGTTATTCATGTACCGTGAATCCTCGCTGGTGTTTCCAGAATCGGCACTTGTAAAGTTGGGTAAAGGGGCAGTCAACAATGCCTTATTTGCTGCGATTATATCATCACCCTCAAACTCAATCTTTTTCATTAAATCATTCATTTTAGGATAGCGATGGTCGCTTTTATTCAAAATGTAGCTCAATGCGTGTAAGCAGAACCATACTTTTGGCACATTTTTTGCATCGTACAAATCAGTGAGTTCGAATCGGAATAAATCTGGCACGTTTAGGAAATCTAGCAAATGAAAGAACCGGTTTATATTCTCGGTGTGTCTGAATTGAAGCTTTTTATCGTCCAGAAACACATTCCTTTGTGTGGGCAAAATGACATTGGCTAATTTGGCAAGATAAATTCCATTTCTGATGTACGAAATGAGTTCAACTGGGGATTGCAGAATCTGCTCGCATAAAACTTCTTCTAACCATTGTCTTATTGCTTCCACCCTGCAAAGGTACTCGTAACCAGGAGAGCTCTTGGATGAGTTATTACTGGGCGATGTGTATCCGGCCTTTCTCGACCCAAAATCAAAGCCAGGTGATTGTTGTTGCAACTTTGGGGTGGATCTCACTGGTGATTTATTCAATAGTTCCTTGTAGTTCTTGCGAGCCCAAGTAGGTGTTTCATCGCCAACAGCCACTCCTTGCTCTTTATTTGACGTGTTGCTACTTGTAGAAGACTTGGGAGTCAATTTAAACGACGACACCGTTGCTGAAGGGGAGCCGAATTTCGATTTCAAAGAAGTAACAGATGAGATAGGTTTGTTGATGGGTGAAACATTGAGCTGTTGCGCCAAAAGATCTAGATCTTGATCAGCCAGGTTCGTACCATTGGTGATGACTTGTTTCAATCTCGTTGGTGTATGTATGTTTTGCCTGGTAGTTGGTTTAAGTATTTGATTTTTTTCACCTCCAGTGGGAAAGTACGTCATTTCCAAATGGTGTACTATCTGCTAATGAAAATTGATTTTCAGAGTTTAGCAAACAAGCGCTTTTCCAACTGATAGGTTATGTTTAGAGGGACTGGGATTGACTTTAACTTCTTTTACTTCAGAAAACAGTCGATGTGATTAATTGTGGTAAAGGATTAAGAATATATAAAAATAATGATTGTTTCTTTTTTATGATTTCTATGCACTTCCAAAAATGGACAAAATGTAAACAACCCCAATTGAGCTTTTGAAAATGATAATCTCCATTAAATCATCGTCTGCTTTACACCATCGGCTAGTATAACCCACACCCTATGTCAAAACTACAGCTCCATAGATTTTTTAAGAGTTTAAACCTATTTTATCAGTTGTAGTACACTCATGCGAGCACTATTATTTTAGAATCCGTTTGCCAGTCATTCCCACAGTTGAGAGCATTAAACCCTTTGCAAAATCTTCACGACTGCATTTCCCTTTCTTTCAAGAAATCTACCAGTTTGGAATAAGCACTAACCTCCTGTTTCAATCGTGGTACCGTATCATTTAGCTGATTGATAGTTTGCAAGTACCCATAATAAGTTTCATTCAATTGATCGATATTTATTTCACTCAACAACTTCGTTGCTGCATCCCTATCCAGGTTATCCTCCACGCTCTGCTCCACTTTTTCGTCAATTAATTTAATTATTCGAGTAACTTCATCATCGACGCGAACCACCGAATTTTGATACTTTTCAACAGCTCGTCTCAGTAATGCTCTTTTTAATTCACTTAGCTCAACAGTAACATCATCATATTCGGTTAATATTTCTCGTAGTTGGTTATTTAGTTCAATGTCAAAAGGTTCCACATCATCATCTTTGTCATCAACCAGCAAAAGCTCCTGGATAGGCACGTTACTTCGATCTTCACCATCTACCAAAAGGGAGCTTAGTAGGTTCTGGAATGAATTTAGTAGACATTTCTCAACTTTCTGGTATACCTCATTCTTAATTGGATCGTTGTGAGATGTGGGAAGATGCAAATTGAGATTTAGAATCGTGGACTTTAAAAGGTTGTTATATAGGGTTTTCAATTCCTTTCTTGAAATAACAATTTTTTCGTAATCATTCTGAATATCTAAAGTCAGGAGTGACATGGTGATTTTTACAATATTGTAGTTTTGTTGTTGTGATGTATTCAAATGACGAGTAGATTGTTATGGTTTGGTTTTCGATTTTGGATTTTGGCCTTTTCTCCAATGCTACCAATTTTGGTATTGATTCAAAACTGATTGTGACAAATGCCAACACTTGAGAACTGACTAAAGTGTATGTGAATATTCTACTTAATGGAATAAGACTAACTACTGGCTGCAAAAGACACATATTTCCCTTATCAGCTAAGCGTAGAAAGAAGTCGTTAACTAATCTAAAGGTGTAGTGATCTGTATCAAATGGTCGTGCAATCAACCCAAAGCCACTGTTTTAACTTTTTTCTCTCTCTCTCAAAAGAACGAATTGGGTCAACGAACTTTTAATCAAAGCTTTAGCATCATCTACAGACCAAAGTCATTTGAAAACGGCGTGATTTGTCCCACGTGTATGCTACAATAATAGAACAGTACAAAAAAAATGACAGACGTATTGGGAGATGAATACTATCCTTCATTTGCACCATTTCTTGGATTCGGGGGATGTGCAGCAGCAATGATGTTATCGTGTGCTGGTGCAGCAATTGGAACTGCTAAATCAGGAATTGGTATTGCTGGTATAGGTACATTTACTCCAGAATTGATTATGAAGTCATTAATACCAGTGGTGATGTCAGGTATATTGTCAGTTTATGGCTTAGTAGTGGCAGTATTGATTGCGGGTGGATTGTCACCCACCGAAAAATACTCATTATTCAATGGATGCATGCATCTAGCTTGTGGGTTAACGGTAGGATTTGCGTGTTTGGCATCGGGGTATGCCATTGGCATTGTTGGGGATGAGGGAGTAAGGCAGTTTATGCATCAACCGAGGTTATTTGTGGGAATTGTTTTGATCCTTATTTTTGCTGAAGTTTTGGGTTTGTACGGAATGATCATTGCATTAATTTTGAATACCAAGGGGAGTGGATAAACAAGAAAAAGTAAAAAGAAAAGGACTATTTTTATATAATACAAAGTTTGTATAAAGTGAGAAAATGATTATCTCTCTAAGATTGCACATACACACACACTCTCTCTCTCAATCAGTTTCCATTTTGTCGTCGTCCTTGCCTTGGTTACTTGCTTCTGTTGCAGAGTTTTCTGCATCAGCCTTCTTGTCTTTGCTTTCCTGTTCATCGTCTGGGTTTCCAATAACGACATTTCCCGAGTCATCAATATATTGTGAAGAATGTTCTTCCAAGTACTTAACAGACCTATCAGAATCCAAAAACAACATATAAGCTCTTTTTATATCCTGAAGCTCAACTTGAGAAGCTCTTTTCTTTAACGATATTTGTTGTGCAACTGAAATCAAATTACTGGCGTATCTCAAACTAGTTTCTTGACCAATCTTGGTCAACAATGCAAGCGCATCGCCAGTTAACTCAACTTCTTCCTCATTGGCTCTGATGGATAAAATTGTTCTGATTTCATCACCAGTGTAATTTGAAGTGTGTATAATAATAGACCTATCCAACAAATCAATAGGCAATCCATGAGGTGACTTGTAGTTAGTACCTCTGGTCTTACTAACACCTCTGTTTGTAGCCATCATCACAATTGGCGAAAAGTCATCTTCCAAAGCTCTATTAATAAACGAAAAACACTCAATGTCCAACATATGGACCTCGTCAATGAACAAAACTCCAGGGACAATTTCAGCTTTGCCTTCTTCTTTCCATTCAGCGACTTTGGTGTTGATCTGATCACGAACTTCTGATCTGATTTCTCCAGTATCTCCGGAAAACAATGCCAAGAATCCTTGTTGTCTTGAATTGATCACATCGATTTCATGCAAAGAAACGGTGTGAACAACCTCCTTTCTTTTTTGTAGCTCTCCTTCAGGACATTGAACAAATTTTGTCTCTGGACCCATAGCATCGTAGTCTCGGGCCCTGGTAAATGATTTACCAAGCTTGGTAATTCTACCGGATGCCTTGTCAATGGAGATGACATCACCAGCAAGAACTTTCTCCTTTGTTAACCCCTCAATCATCTTGTTACCAAGTTCATAAATAGTTTCCATGTCAGTGGTCTTAATTGTAAGCTTCCCTTGCTTGTGGCCACCGGTAATCGATCTATCAATTTGAATCTCAACTACTTCCCCTTCTATGATTTCAGTCTCTTCTTTGATTCTAATTCCGATGGATTTTCTAAACGCTTGAGTCAATGCTTCAGTTTTTGATAACTCCAAACTGAAAACTTCAGATGCAGCAATAGCAGTGAATGGGACTTCTGATCCTAGACTTTGGGATAAACCCATGGCAATGGCTGTTTTACCAGTCGATGGCGGACCAGCGACCAATACTGCACGTCCTGCTATTTTGCCCGCTTGGACCATTTTTAAAACAATCCCGGCTGCTTTTCTAGCTTTGAGTTGCCCAACCATTCCTTGAGCATTTTCCTTAGGTTGTAGATTGTCATCCAAGCCTAGGCCCGTAATATGCGAGTGTGCCGCTATCAAGGACAATCCATTGACATCGCTTGTAGTGACCTTTGTGTTGATCGAGTTTGCTATTGATGACGCCTGATATCGGTTAGTAGTCACTCAAATGTGTATTATTAGATTATGAATAAACATACCATTATACTATAACTGAATTTCCAATCAATTCTAATAATCTGACAAAGTGTTGAGTGTGCCTTTGCTAATCTTCTCTTTCTCATTTTTTTTTTTCAGCAGATTTTCTATAGATGAGTGCTACCAAATTTGGTTGAAGGTCGTTTGACCAAACATAGTTGAGTCTGTATCCTTCACAAGTGACCATTGCGTCTAGAGATTATTTCAGGGTGGCGCTGTCTACAATGGAAAATGCCTAAAGAGTTCAAAACTTCTTAGAGTTTATAAGAGGACTCAGCCAGAGAAAAATTTTGACATGTCCCGGCTCTCCAGGCGGCGTCCAAAAAATTATGGACTTTTGTAGGGGAGGGGAGGGTAGGGGTCCCTAGGGTAGTCCCATAACATCTCCAAGGGGTGGTACCCTGCAAGAGAGACCTGTTTTAGCGTTGTTTCTAATTCAACAGAAGATGCGACAAACTTGTTTGATATACTCTCTTGGAAGCACTTTAATGCGTCGTACAAGCGACCTAACGAGGATCTGTGTGTGTTTCCTGTACTAAATGATCACCCTCTAAGTGACCCATGTAAGAGGGAAAGAACTAGAGGACTGTAGGGCTATAGAATCGTGTATATGCTGTAAGACGACGGCGTTGCTGCGAAAAAGAGTGCTTACTAGAAGAAAAAAGAAAACGCTGGGTAAAGTTTTGCAACTATCCAGGCACACAACAACCAGAATAAAATCTTGGCATTCTAAAAAGGTTTCATCCTATTTGGACACATTGAATATTGATCCACATATTAAGAAAGATATAAAACAATATCTACATTTTATTATATCTACCAAAACACTGAATCCGCAGCTCGGAATCCAACAACCAGATTGGGACTAATAAAATCACGAATGATCCAAACCCAAGATAATTGACAATCGCTAGTCTTGCCTTAAATTACTATACAATACAATTTTTATAACCGAAGCTTTCTGTTTTTTATCATGTAGTAAGAATATGAATAAATCGGGTGTATTGGATAGTGATAAGCTAATTGTAAAAGAAATGCTATAAACTTTACAAAGAAAAAGGGATAACTTCAAAGAGTATAAATAACCTTGAATATAGTAAGAATATATCAATTGACCTAGCGATGATTTCCATATAGGCACCACGTTTAGGGAAGCAGTAAGCAAAATTAGTTTCAAGTCCAACTCTGCTTCCTTTCCTTTTCAAGTGACGACAATTGCATGTGAGTGAACAAGTTTAACTTATAAATAAGTGAAGATAATGGAGCATGTCTTGTTTAAACAGTGATAGAATGGTGAAAACGTATCATCCCAATATTGTGGATCTCTGTCTACTGAAGGACCTTCATCATATGCATCGGTTGGGATGGGGATAGTTCATTGGATGATTAATTACCAAAAGACACATTGAATAAAATCTCCAACACAGTTGAGTTGTCTTTGATGTCTTCTTATTGAGGGTACTTGTAATCATATTGGCGACACACTTCTTGATCTAGCTTGCTAGGGAAGCTCAGTGGTGTATCAATAGATTGAATGTTTAGTGATGTAAAGAAACGCGATAAGGTCAAATAAAGGCTTAGGAGTATGACTAAAATGAATAAAGTATGACGGGTAAAGGAGTACTCTGCTAGACCAACAACATTTTGTATCAAAATACCACTAACTTAGGATCTCTTGGTAGACCATCATCATCAATGTTGTTTTTATTCAACTCACCTTTTGTGTACTCCAATCTAGCCTCGTCAAAACTGATACCCTTGGTTTGCATAATCTTTTTAATCTCCTCTTTTGCTATTTGACTCAACCCTTGCCTTGTATCATTCAGATTATTAGCTTCCAAATCAAAGTTCAAGCTACTCAATCCGTCATTAATATCGCCCTCAAATGATCCCAAATTGTGGTAATACCCTTGCTGGATTCTTCTTCTAGTTCTATATCTGTCAAGTAACTCACCTATCTTGTGACGAAGATGAAATACCAAACCAAGTATTACGATACATGCGATAATTAAAACATAGTGAGATTCGAGAAAGGATTTAGTGATGTAGGTGGCACCATTGGAGTGTTCAGGTGACTGTTGTGATTCATCTCGTATACTTTGCAACGGCATTATTTACCGGGTGTGTATCAATTGATCCTTGGGTGTAGTTAGGTTAAACACGTGAAAGTCCTTTTCTCCTTTTCTTCTTTCTCCTCTCTCCTTTTTATTTTTCAATTGCGGAGTTTAAACAATGTTGACTGCGTAGACCCGTGTTTCACGTGTTACACAGTAACACGGTCCGAACATTTGCCCTAACATCATGACCAAGACGTGGACCAGTCTAGTTGGTGTTTCCAATTCAATAGAAGGCGTGACAACTTTGTTTGATATGCTGTTCTCTTGCAAAGTACTTTAATAGGTGGTTCAAATGACCCTTGAGAAAAAACTGCATTGTCATAAATAAACATCTTCGTAATAATCGACCTAGTATTCAAAAGCGGTAGTACTGTAGCATAGGGTATATGCTTGTTAGAAAGGGTGTACTGCTGCAGGATAATTGTGTTCATCAGTATCATATTTACTTAACAGGGAACATTTTGTTCTATTTTTGCTGCAAAATTATTTGAAGATTGAACAAATTAGAAACCGTTTAATTAGTTACGTTTTATTAAGAAGAAGATTATATTCATATACGAGTGTAGCAAATCCTTATTACCTTTACACACTTTGTTCTCAGTTCCTTTTGTGCAGATACAGATGCAGCTAAGAAATTGGTCTCACAATTTTAAACCCATTTTGGGACGTACTCCGCTAAGACCCACATACACAAAAGAAAAATGGAAATATCAACCCACAAGATCTACAACAACAAACAAAAGTACAAACACATATGCATATGTATAACTTTCCATCAACACTTCACATTACATCTCAATATATTGTGTGGAGTATGCACAAACAGTTTGTATTGCTTTCAGTCAAATGTGCAATCAACAACTTGACCAGGAAGACGTTTATAAAGTATTCTCTTATACAGAGCAACGCAAAGTCTGAAATATAAAGAATCCAAATTTGGAAATGTCTGGAGGCAGCTTTTGCAGTCTCTGGTCAAACTTTGACTTGCAACAACTCTGCATCTTTAACAGCTCTCACGGATATAGTACAAATTGTGAAAACTCGTCCACTGTGGTACTGAACTCTTAAACAGAGATGTGTATTTATACCCGACCCCTCAGTGTGCGTTCTCCCCCACTCTTCCCCCAACCACCCCTCCATTTTGAGAACCGTGGAAATTGAAAAGTTTTATTTATTGTCGTTTCATTTCTCACTTTTTTTCTTCCTCTCTATTGGTAAATAACCATGCGTTTTGGCGGAGTTGACATCTTCTGCATATAAGCGCTTGATGGCTAAGTTATTGAATTAAATTTATCCATTTCCCTTCTCCTTTTAGTGTACACTGATTTTGCAAACCGGCAATTAGCGCATATTTTCTGTCTGGGGAAAGGTTTCCGATTAGGTAATTGTCGCGTTTTCTCCATACAAACAAATAATTGCACCAAAGAGAAAAACAAATACACACTGTTATTTAGACTATAAACCTCAGATCATATTATTATTTCATTTTATTTTAACCCCAACTTTTATAAAACTTTTATATATATATATATATTTACATTTCCTTTACTTGATGCTTTTCAAACATGCGAGGGAGAGAGAAAAGAACCTGCACGTTTCTTGATATCTTTTGATAATCAACTTAATCAGTCAGCCATATATCTGTCAACATCGTCTCCTTCGCTATATTCACACATTTAGTCCCCTCCCCACCTATTATGTCCCTCAACTTGGAAGCTAAAATGCAACCCAAGACTATGCCACCTAGATTGCCATCAATCGTTGACTCCGACTTGGACTCACTTTATGCACCTGACGAAAAACCTGAAGTGTTCCAAAACTCTAATGACTTGCCGCTTGAAACTTTGGTCAACCACATTTTGCCTCTTCCACAGGACATTAGTGGAAGAGCGGTCAAGATCCCAGGCACATCAAAACCAGGGTTTACAGAAATATATAGAAATGGTGCTTTTCCAAATGGGGTCAAACGATACTTGTTGCCCGAATTGAACACTTACCATGCCATTTTTGAATCCGCGGTAAAGAGACACGCAGATAGACCTTGTTTGTCTCATCACGAATATGATTACGAAAACGAAGAACACAAGGAGAAATACGTCTCCCTTAACTACCTGGAAGTTAATGACCGCAAAACCAACTTTGCTAGTGGGTTATTGTTTTTATTGGAGACTAATCCTTACAAGAATCTCGATTTGGAGTCCCACCAGAAAATAGTAAATCATGCAAGGGACTACAAGCTGTATGACGAAGATGAATTTTCTTTTGTTGCGACATTCTATTCAGGAAATAGACCCGAGTGGATTTTATCAGATTTAGCATGTTCCTCAAATTCCATTACATCAACTGCATTGTATGATACATTAGGACCAGCATCATCTAAATTTATATTGGAAACCACCCAGTCGCCAGTGGTCATTTGTGCCAAGAACAAGATTGAAGCTTTGATCAAAATGAAAGCAGCAAATCTGAAGGATCTCGAGTCATTAATCACTCTTGTTTCAATGGACCCGTTAAATATTAGGGAGAAGAAAACCGACGCAAATTTGGTTCAACTTGCTCAAGAAAACAATATTAAATTGTATGACTTTAACCAAGTCGTTAAGATTGGAGAAATTTTCCCTCGAGCTGAAACTACTCCTACTTCAGAAACAACATTTACGCTCACCTTTACCTCAGGTACAACTGGTGCCAATCCAAAAGGTGTGGTTTTGCTGCAAAGATCAGTAGCTAGTGCCATCCAGGGATATTCAGTTTTATTGCCTCATCATAAAGATACCAAGGAATTTGCGTTTTTGCCATTAGCACATATTTTTGAAAGGCATATGTCTGCATCAATGTTTCTTTGCGGAGGTGCAGTTGGATTCCCCAGGTTAGGTGGGACTCCACAAACGTTATTTGAAGACTTGAAACTTTTTAAGCCCACATTTTTTGCCTGTGTTCCCCGTATTTTCTCCAAGATGGAAACAATAATTAAAGCATCAACTGTTGACTCATCATCAAGAATCAATCGAGCATTGTATTCCCAAGCTATTGAAACAAAACGGTCCAAACAAGCAAAGAGTGGAGGCAAAGGTGAACATTTCATTTACGACCAAACATTGATTAGAAACTTGCGTTCTCGATTCGGATTTGACAACATGGAGACGTGTTATACTGGTGGTGCACCTAGTGCGCCTGAAAGTATTGAGTTTTTGAAAGCAAGTTTGGGAATCGGTATCAGTCAGGGATATGGCTTGAGTGAATCGTTTGCTGGTATTATCATGGCCTTGCCTTTTCATACACCTAGTATTGGAACATGTGGTTCAATCAGTCCTATGGTGGAAGCCAGGTTAAGAGAATTGCCGGAAATGGGCTACTATTTGAATGACAAGGGTGGTCCAAGAGGTGAATTGCAGTTGCGTGGACCACAAATGTTTAGTCACTATTTCAAAAACCCCGAGGAAACAAAGAAAACCATTGATGCGGATGGGTGGTTTTCAACAGGGGATGTTGCACAAATTACAAATGAAGGGTGGTTTATTATCATTGATCGAGTCAAGAACTTTTTCAAATTGGCACAGGGTGAATATGTGACTCCAGAAAAGGTTGAGAATTTGTATCTTACTTATAACTCCATCTTGACACAAGTCTTTGCCCACGGTGATTTCACTCAATCCTTTTTAGTTGGTATTGTTGGTGTTGATCCGGTCAATATTGTGTCATTTCTTACCGAGAAGTGCAATATCCCACTGAGTGGGGTAGATACAGAAGACAAGATTCTTGAAGTGTGCAACAGACGCGAGATAAGAACACGGATTTTGTTGCAATTGAACACAAATATTGGATCTATACTTAACGGATTTGAAAAATTGGCCAATATATATATTGAGTTTGAACCATTGAGGTTGGAGAGAGAGGTTGTTACTCCAACTTCCAAGTTAAGAAGACCAATTGCATCCAAGTTTTTCAAACCACAGATTGATGCCATGTACAAAGAAGGTTCAATTTTGAAGGACTTGAAGTTGTAAACGTTTTGAGATTGTTGCAAGTTTCCATGCGGATTAGAGCCCATAAACAGAGCTAAATAGAGTTTATTAGATAAAGATTTCATGCTGGTTTTAACGATGTAGATAAAAAATAACTTGGTACTTTTGACGAGTGGAGAAATAAAGGTATATATGCACGATGATGTGACAATATCGAAATGTACAACTGCGCAAAAGCTTAACGAGTCATTATTTATCAAGTGGTACCCTGGGACTCTGCTTTCTACCGACAGAGTTTACATACTTCTACTACACTAGAGATGATGACATTGATAATTACAATTTGGTGGCTATAAGGTGCGATATTTTTCCGTCTTGCTAGAAGGGTTCGTGCGACTTAATAGATGTGATACCCCACACCCCGCAGACGTTGAAGAGTTCGTACTTTCCCTCGGTTATCTTCATCGAATAAAGCTTAAACAACAATTGGTATGGTAAAACAATGCAGCATGGGCAAAGGAAAGCTCCCTCAAGTGATTCTGATTATCCATGGACATTATTTGACGAATTAAACTTCTCCTCATTCACGCCGGAAAAATAAACGACATACATTCCCACACACAAAAAGTATAACTCCGCAAATTTTTGTCGATATATATTTATCGCATAATATACATAGTACAACTGATTTGAAGAATTTCTCTTTTCAAGTACAACACAACTTAACGCAACTTAACATTTGCACAATGACTTTGAAATTACCTTCAGTGATCGACTCCGACTTGGATTCACTTTACGCTGCTGCTGAAGATCCTGTTTTGTTCCAGAATGCCAATAACTTGCCCGATGATGCCTTAATCAACCATAACTTGCCACTTCCACAAGAAATGAGTTCCAGAGCTGTCAAGCTTCCAGGTACCGCAAAACCCGGATTCTCCGAAGTATACAGAAATGGTGCTCTCCCAAATGGATTGAAAAAATCAATAACAGCAGAGTTGGACACCTATCCCAAAATTTTTGCATCTTCGGTCAAAAGACAAGCTGATCAGCCATGTTTGGCATATCACGAATATGACTACGAGAATGAACAGCACATGGAGAGATATGCATCACTCACTTACCAACAGGTTGATGAACGCAAGACTAACTTTATCAACGGTTTGATATTTTTGTTAGAAAGTAACCCATACAAGAATCTTGCCTTGGAGTCACACCAAAAGATTGTGAACCATTCAAAGGAATACAAAAACTACGACAAGGACAATATTTCGTTCATTGTGACTTTGTACTCCGGCAACAGAGCCGAGTGGATCCTTACTGATTTAGGTTGTTCGGCAAATTCGATCACTACAACAGCATTGTACGATACGTTGGGTCCCGCTTCATCTAAGTACATTTTAGGAATTACTCAATCGCCAGTCGTGGTATGCTCCAAAAGCAAGATTGAATCCTTGATCAAGTTGAAAGCCGAAAACCCCAAGGAATTAGAATCGTTAATCACCATTATTTCGATGGATCCATTGAAAGTGAATGGAAAATCTAGCGCATCCTTGATCAAGCTTGCTGAGGAAAACAAGATCAAATTGTATGACTTTAACCAAGCAGAAAGAATTGGTGAAGTTTTCCCTCGAGAAGAAACAAGTCCAAACCCCGAGACCACCTTCACATTCACTTTTACCTCAGGCACAACTGGTGCAAATCCAAAGGGTGTTGTTTTGCTGCAACGCTCTGTTGTTAGTGCACTTTTAACTTTTGCCACCTTATTGCCTCACAATAAAGCAACAAAGGAGTTCTGCTTTTTACCTTTGGCTCATATCTTTGAAAGGCAAATGTATGCCACAGTATTGCTTGTTGGTGGTGCAATCGGGTTCCCTAGATTAGGTGGGACTCCGCAAACGTTATTTGAAGACTTGAAGCTCTTCAAACCCACGTTTTTTGCCTGTGTTCCTAGAATATTTACCAAAATGGAGGCAGCAATTAAGGCAGCTACTGTTGATTCATCGTCAAAGATTAATAGGACATTGTTCTCACAAGCCATTGAAACAAAACGTGCGAAGCAGATGCAAAATGAAGATAGAGGAGATCATTTTATATTTGACAATACTTTAATTAGAAGCTTACGTTCTAGATTTGGATTTGACAATATGGAATTGTGCATAACCGGTAGTGCACCAGTTGCTCCAGACACAATCAACTTCTTGAAGGCAAGTTTAGGAATTGGTATGAGTCAGGGCTATGGATTAAGTGAGTCATTTTCTGGTATATTGATAGCATTGCCTTTCCATTCTCCTAGTGTTGGGACATGCGGGGCAATCAGTCCAACTGTTGAAGCCAGGTTGAGAGAATTGCCGGAAATGGGCTACTATTTGAATGACAAGGGTGGCCCAAGAGGTGAATTGCAGTTGCGTGGACCACAAATGTTTAGTCACTATTTCAAGAACCCCGAGGAAACAAAGAAAACCATTGATGAGGATGGGTGGTTTTCAACAGGGGATGTTGCACAAATTACAAATGAAGGGTGGTTTATCATCTTTGATCGAGTCAAGAACTTTTTCAAATTGGCACAGGGTGAATATGTGACTCCAGAAAAGGTTGAGAATTTGTATCTTTCTTCTAATTCCATCTTGACCCAAATGTATGCTCATGGAAATTCTACCCAGTCGTTTTTAGTTGGTATTGTTGGTGTTGATCCAACCAACATTGTGAAATTCCTTGTTGAAAAGTGCAACATCACCAAACATGAATTGGACACACAGGACAAGATTCTTGAAGTGTGCAACAGACGCGAGATAAGAACACGGATTTTGTTGCAATTGAACACTAACGTTGGATCTGGTTTAAATGGGTTTGAAAAATTGGCCAATATATATATTGAGTTTGAACCATTGAGGTTGGAGAGAGAGGTTGTTACTCCAACTTCCAAGTTAAGAAGACCAATTGCATCCAAGTTTTTCAAACCACAGATTGATGCCATGTACAAAGAAGGTTCAATTTTGAAGGACTTGAAGTTGTAGATGAAGGGAGTGGGAAATTCTTAGAACTGTGGAGTATACACTTTTATAGAGGACGTATATCTTTAGATTCAAAGAAGAACAAAATTATGTTTCACCCTCTCACACTGTACTCCCTTTGACAGTTAGACGAGACAGCTACAAAAGGGGAACATGTTTCCCAAGCTTTACTTCCAGCTGTTTACAAGTAGGAGCTAAACCTTTGTCTCGAATCAATTGATCTTTCCGTCAACCAAAACAAAAATTCGAGCCAGAAGAATCTGATTATTCTTGCAACGTTATCAGAAAACAAAGATTTAAGCACATCCAAAAAGTAGATGACCAACTCAAGCGACGCTCCAGCATGAACAAGTTCAAAGTCCAATGGTCAACATGGATGGTCTGTGAAAGATAATCTCACACATGGTCAAATTGGACAGATCTTCAAGGCAGCAGCTGTAAAAAAAGAAAACACAGTTTCATATTGGACAATTTATAACACAATGATAAGGCAGTGATTCATTTTATGCTGCTATTGATGAAGGCAGTCAAAGTATTGCCTATGAAGAAGGTGTAGTTTTGGAATTATCACCGCTTCACGAATATCAATGTATCGCTAAGTAGTCACCCCACACTATCACACAAGATTCAGAAAAGTTTACTCACTGCTGATAAGTCACCAAAGGGTCAATAAACAAGCTACTCACTGGCTTTATAGTAAGCCGTTGCTCAGTCGTTACTTGATCGTTTCAACTCAAGCAGTTGATACCAGCAAAGCAGGAGTCAAGTCGAACGCGTTGCCCGAATACGTCGAAGCCGTAATCAACCATCGTGTTGCTGTTGAATCAACGGTCGATGAAGTTTATGTCCATGATTTACTCCATGCTAAGCGTTTAGCTAAAATGTTCGGTTTAGAATTAGCCTACGAGGGTGGACATCCTTCGTAGCGGAACCAAGAATGGCATGATCACGATTCACAGAGCTTCTCAGTTGGAACCGGCACCAAGCACGCCTACCGCGGGTAAACAATGGGAAACTTTTTACTAGCAATTTGAGACACAGCTCTCTGCATATTCATTTGACCAATGATGACTTTAAATAAGCATTACCTGCGATATGGATACAAGACAATTATAACTAGTTCAGTTTTCACCGGAATGCTATTGCTCAAATGGCCATTATTAGACACACCACTTTATGAGTTTGCTAATGTTGACCGTCTAACCTAGCAATTGGAGAAGAACTTGCTTTATTTTTTACAATTCCGGGGTTTTACTGTCGATGCTGGTGCCTTCTGCTACATTGACCTACAAGTGGATACAAAGAGAGATGTAAAAAGATAGATAGAGAGAGAGAGAGAGAGAGAGAAAAAGAGAGAGAGAGTTTGATTGAATTTGACGCCATATTAAAAAAATAATACATAGCAGGAATTAAAAAGCAAAAAAAAAAGAAGATACCAGTAGCCACCACAACCACTAAATGTCTCTTTTTCAAACGGACATCAACATCATTAAACGTCTCGACAAACAATTGCGTATTCTTGCTCTCGATCCCAATCAGTGGTGAACTCATAACTCCGGATATTTGGCATAGGATTATAGATTGTGTTGTTTTCTTTTTTATATTTTTTACACTTTTTTGCACAATCTTT